TTTTTTTTGTTTTTTTTTTTTTTTTTTTTTTTTTTTTGACAGGCAGAGTGGACAGTGAGAGAGAGAGACAGAGAGAAAGGTCTTCCTATGCCGTTGGTTCACCCTCCAATGGCCACCGCGGCTGGCGCACTGCCACCGGCGCACCGCGCTGATCTGATGGCAGGAGCCAGGTGCTTCTCCTGGTCTCCCATGGGGTGCAGGGCCCAAGCACTTGGGCCATCCTCCACTGCACTCCCTGGCCACAGCAGAGAGCTGGCCTGGAAGAGGGGCAACTGGGACAGAATCCGGCGCCCCGACTGGGACTAGAACCCGGTGTGCCGGCGCCGCAAGGCGGAGGATTAGCCTAGTGAGCCACGGCGCCGGCGCCGGCCCAAAAATGTACCTTTTAAAAATATATTTGCATTTTCTTTGAAAGGCGAGAGGAAGAGACAGAGATTCTCCACTCTCTGGTTCACTCCCAAATGCCTGAACAGCCAGGGATAAGCAATGATGAAGGCAGGAGCTGGGAGCTCAGTGCACGTGGCTGGAAGAAATGCAATTACCTGAGCCATCACCTGCTGCCTGCCAGGGTGCACACAGCAGGGAGCTGGATCAGAAGTAGAGCAGCTGGGACTGCACCGGGCCCTCCAGTGGGGAAAGACGGTGTCCCCACGCAGTTCACCCGCTGACTCAGAACAGCGCGGTCTTCGGTAGCAGGAAGGTAGCACGTTCAAGCTTCCGGGCTGATCCTGCACCTCTGGGACCCCGCAGCCACGTCCTCGCTGTGATGGGAGTTCACATCAGTGGTCTGGGCCTTGAAGTACCTGCGTTTTAAGATCTAAGCTGGCGCCGGCACACTGGGTTCTAGTCCCAGTCGGGGCGCCGGATTCTGTCCCGGTTGCCCCCCTTCCAGGCCAGCTCTCTGCTGTGGCCCAGGAGTGCCGTGGAGGATGGCCCAAGTGCTTGGGCCCTGCACCCCATGGGAGACCAGGAGAAGCACCTGGCTCCTGGCTTCAGATCAGCGCGGTGTGCCAGCCGCAGTGGCCATTGGGGGTGAACCAACGGCAAAGGAGGACCTTTCTCTCTGTCTCTCTCTCTCACTGTCCACTCTGCCTGTCAAAAAAAAAAAAAAAAAAAAAAGAAAGAAAGAAAGAAAGAAAGAAAAAAAGAATCTAAGCTGGGGCTGGCGCTGTGGCACAACGTGCTAAGTGCTGCCTTTGACACCAGCATCCCATATGGGCATGGGCTCAGGGCCCAGCTGCCCCACGCCCACCCCCCGTCCTGCTAATGCACCTGAGAAAAGCAGTGGAAAGTGGCCCAAGTGCCTGGCCCCTGCTACCCATGTGGGAGACCCCGAGGGTGCTCCCGGCTTCAGCCTGGCCCAGTCCTGGCTATTGCAGTCATTACAGGGAGTGAACCAGTGGACAGGAAACCTCTCTCTGCTTCTCTCTAACTCTGCCTTTCAAATTAAAAAAATAATTTTTTCTAAGCCACCTAACAACACATCTATTTGTGTCTACCACCAACCACCCACGCATTTATCACCTGTCTACCAAACCATCTACCGCCATCTGTGTACCACCCACCCATGTGTGCACCGTCTGCTCGTCTGTCCACCCACCCACCTGGCCATCCAGCTCTGGGCTTACTCTGCTTTCACACACTGGAACTCCCACCGCACACGGGACGTTCGATATCCCTGGACTTTTCACTCCGTTTTTCTGACTTGGCGTGAGTGAGTGCCTCATGCCTGGGCCCCGGCACTCTCCAACCTCGTGCGGCACAGCCTGTGCTGATTGCCTGGGGAGCGGCCAGCAGGCCTCGGCCCCTCACTGGTCTCTCCCTTCGAGTCCAGGAGCCCCGGCGCGCCCTCCGGAAGCTCAGCGAGTTTCTGGGGCGCCCGCTGGGGGTGCAGGAGGAGGACCTCATCCTGGGCCACAGCAGCTTCTCCTTCATGCGCCAGAGCAGGGCGGCCAACTACAGCCTGGTGCCCAGGGAGATCATGGACCCCGCGCGCAGCCCGTTCCTGCGGAAAGGTAGGGCCCGCCCCGTCGTCGCCAGCCCCACCGGCAGCCCTCCCTCCCTTCCCGGAGCCAGGGTCACCGCCACCGCTCCCAGCCCCCCACTGGCTAGCAGGGGACCCGTCTCCCGAGGTCACAGCGCCTCCCGGAGCCCCAGGAGGGCGTCCCCTGAAACCAGCGCCTGAGAGTCTCCCTCCCAGGGACACCGACCTCCGCTCCCTGCCGGGGCAGCCCGGGCGCCAGGGGGCAGCCCGGGCGCCAGGGTGTCGCGTGCCCCTGGGGTCGGCGGTGAGTGCCCCGTGCCCCTCGGGGTCAGCGGTGAGTGCCCCGTGCCCCTGGGGTCGTCGGTGAGTGCCCCATGCCCCTGGGGTCGTCGGTGAGTGCCCCGTGCCCCTGGGGTCGTCGGTGAGTGCCGCGTGCCCCTGGGGTCAGCGGTGAGTGCCCCGTGCCCCTCGGGGTCAGCGGTGAGTGCCCCGTGCCCCTGGGGTCGTCGGTGAGTGCCCCGTGCCCCTGGGGTCGTCGGTGAGTGCCCCGTGCCCCTCGGGGTCAGCGGTGAGTGCCCCGTGCCCCTGGGGTCAGCGGTGAGTGCCCCGTGCCCCTCAGGGTCAGCAGTGAGTGCCCCGTGCCCCTAGGGTCAGCGGTGAGTGCCCCGTGCCCCTGGGGTCAGCGGTGAGTGCCGCGTGCCCCTGGAGTCAGCAGTGAGTGCCCCGTGCCCCTCGGGGTCAGCGGTGAGTGCCCCGTGCCCCTGGGGTCAGCGGTGAGTGCCGCGTGCCCCTCGGGGTCAGCGGTGAGTGCCCCGTGCCCCTGGGGTCAGCGGTGAGTGCCGCGTGCCCCTGGAGTCAGCGGTGAGTGCCCCGTGCCCCTCGGGGTCAGCGGTGAGTGCCCCGTGCCCCTGGGGTCAGCGGTGAGTGCCGCTTGCCCCTGGAGTCAGCGGTGCGTGCCCCGTGCCCCTCGGGGTCAGCGGTGAGTGCCCCGTGCCCCTGGGGTCAGCGGTGAGTGCCCCGTGCCCCTGGGGTCAGCGGTGAGTGCCCCGTGCCCTTCGGGGTCAGCGGTGAGTGCCCGTGCCCTCGGAGGCCAGCACCTCAGACCCGGCGGTGACTGTCGCGCGCCCCTCATGGGTTGGCGCCTCGGGGTCAGCGCCTCAGGGCTGGTGGCGAGTGCCCAGTGCCCCTCGGGGTCGAAACCCCCGCTTGCGTGCTCCTCAGGTCGGCGCCATGGCCCCCTCCCCGAGCCCAGCCGGAAGCAGTAGGGAGAGGGCCCTTGGCGCGTGGGCGCGTGCGCAGCTGAGCCCACGCACCTGTGCCTCCCGCGTGGGAGACCCGGCTGCAGTTCCCGCCTCCCGGCTTCAGCCTGGCCCCACCGGGGCTGGCATGTGGGGAGTGAACCGGCGGATGGAAGACCTCTCCTCTCCCTGTGTAACTCTCTCAAATAAATAAAATAAATCTTGAAAAGTAAAGAAAACCTACAGGGGGAGGTCCCCGGCTCAGCTCAGCCAGGGCAGGGGTCTCCGAGAACCATGAGCAGCCTTGGAACAATCTTGTTTTTCTTTTTTCGAAAAAGATTTTTTTTGGAAAAAGATTCATTTGTTTACTTGAAAGGCAGAGTGAGGTACTTCTCGTATATCCGGATGTAGTGAGAGGTCTTCCATCCGCTGGTTCACTCCTCAAATGGCCACAACGGCCAGGGTTGGGCCGGGCCGGGCCGAAGCCAGGAGCCTGGGCTTCCTCCAGGTCTGCCGCGTGGGTGCCGGGGCCACCGCTGCTTCGCCAAGCACATTAGCAGGAAGCTGGATCCGAAGTGGAGCAGCCAGGATTTGGATAGGGAATGCTGGCATGGACAGAGGCTTGACACCCTGTGCCACAACCCCTGTCCCAGGAGGACCTCTCGACACGGAGAGGCCACCCTCCCCTCGACCAGCTTGGCTTTTGCACTCTTGGGCAATCCGCTATTAGTAGAAGTTGCGGAGGGACTGGTGGCGGTGTAGACTACGCGGAGACGCGCTCCTGGCCGTACCACCCGGTGCCCGATGGTGTTTCACCATGGCGGGGGCCGCCTCAGGAGGTTAGCACCTCCAGCCCATCACTGCAGTGACCAGAACCCCATCCCGGGGCTGGCTCCGTCCATGTTGAACCCGCGGTGGAACCGCGACGCTCCCTGCATGTGGGAGTCAGGGCCAGCCCCTCAACGCCCACAGCTAGGGTGGCTCGGCAAAGGCCCCCAGGCCACTCTCAGGACAGGCTCTGGGCCGAGGACCCGGGCTCAGCCCCCACGCCACTGACCCTTCAGGGGCCACAGGCAGGTTCATTTCCTGGGGCCGCCGAGCCCAGCTCCCAGCCTGGGGGTGGAAACAGACACATCCCTCCTGTCAGTCTGGCGGCCAGCAAAGGCCTGCTCCCTGGGGCCCCTGGGGAGCTCTGGCCTCGCTGCCCCTGCCCGCTGCTGGTGGCCTGCCGTGCTCGCCTGGTGGGTGAGCCCCGTCAGTGTCTGCTTCTGTGCCCTGCACTGAGGATGTCACTGCGTGATGGTTTGCAGGGAGGCCACGGCCACAGGCACAGCTCTGTCTTCAGTAAACTGACCCTAGCTCATCGCCACCGTTTAGTTGTTAGTTATGTTTCCTTTTATTTGAAAGAGGGGGTGCTCCCTCTGCTGCATTTGGTCCACTCCACAAATGCCTGCAACAGCGGGGGCTGGGCCGGGCCGAAGCCAGCACCAGGAGCTCCATGTGGGCCTCCCGCTGGGTGGCCAGGGCTCAAGGCTTGGCCCGGCATCGCCTGCTGCCTCTGGAGCACTGACAGGAGCTGGAGTGCAGCGTTAGCCAGGCCTCTGCTCCGGCACTAGGCACGGGCGTCCCAAGTGGCGCCCCACCCGTGTGCCTGCAGCCGTGGGGACCCTGGGACTGCAGTGTCGCTTCCCCGAGCCCCGGCTGACGCCCTCTGCCCCCCCCAACCCCCGCCCGCAGGTGTCGTGGGGGACTGGCAGGAGCACTTCACGCCAGAGCAGAATGAGAAATTCAACGCCGTGTACCAGGCCAAGATGAGCGACTGCAGCGTCTGCCTGCCCTGGAGCATGGACTGACGGCCTCACCCGCCCTCCTGCTCCCTGGGGCCCGGCCTCCTGACCGCCCACGCTCTGCTGTCTCCCTGGCCTGGCAATAAAATGTGTGTGGACCCCTCCTCAGCGTGGCCTGGGCCCCTCTTTTCCGCTGGGACTCGGCCCACCTGCTTTTCGCGCGTCCCTCCTCCTCTGGTTGAGACCCCAGAACCCCGATCCCTTGAGAGCCTGGGCTGCTGGCCTTCAGCCCTTTCGTCCTCCAGCCTGCTGAGAATGGCCTTCCCGGACCCTCCCTCCAGGGCCCAAAGGCCAGCAGTGGGGCCGCGCGGTGGGAAGGGGCCCTCCCTGCCATGCTGCCAACCCCAGAGGCCCTCATCCCAGTGGTGCAGCTGTTCCGGGAATTTCTAACTGCAGCGGAGGGTTGGGGGTACTGAGGCACCCCGGGCCGCAGAGGGAGCCAGCAGGCCTGACCATGTCAGCCTGTGTCAGAGAGGCCTCTTCTGAAGCCCGGCCCACGCTGGCTTAGGCCAAAGGAGAATGCGCCGGTCCCCGTGTGCGGCTTGAGGCACAGCCAGCTCCAGGCGAAAGCCTTGTTTAGTGCAGAGGTGCCCCACTCTGTGTGGAAATCCACTCCCGCGCCCTGCCAGTGCGCTGGCCTTGATCAAGCTCACCTCCTCCCCCGAACTCAAGACCCCACCAGGGCCACAGCAACCCAGGCCTCACCCTGGACTGAGCTGCTGGGGAGACCCTCCTCACTCACCATGTCCTCACCTCCTCTGTCTGCACCTGCTCCGGGGGCACAGGCGCTGTGGTGACATCACCCCAAGACAAGAGCTGCCCCTCCCCCCAGCAGGACTGGCTCCCCGGCTCCCCAGGAGGAGTCTAAGGCACACACGACTTCCCACTGCTGAGGGAGGGTCGGGCGGGCGGAACAGATGTGAACCCAGGTCTCTGAGTACAGTGATGAGCTGCGGCTCCATGAGGCCAAGGAACACGACCCAGCCACCAGCCCACCTGCCAGCCCATCAGCCCCACGTCAGCTGTGCTAGACACCAGCCCCGCTCCGAGGGGTGCCCGGCCTGCAGCCGTCACCAGGGAGAGCAGGGAGCTCCCTACGGGGCCACCTCGAGCCTGTGATTGTCCAGGCCACACCACCAGGGGCCACTGTGCCAGGGTCCAGCCGGGCGTGCTGGCCTCAGGCCTCGGTGCTGCCAGGGAGCATGGGGCAGGAGGGGGCCCAGGCGTCTGTGTCAGACATCTCCGTAGAGCTCCTTGGCACCCCCACCCCAGTACCTCAGAGTGCATAGAAATACGTGTGCTGTCCTGAGGGCCGTCCGCTGAGTTGGGAGGCAGCGCTCTGCTGTGTGGGGTCTCTGCTCACTCCAGCTGCAGACACTGCCTGGTTGCGTGAGAGCCCGTGCTGGGTGCGGCCCGGGGGCCTGCGTCCGTTGGGGGCCCCCCAAGGCAGCCAGAGCCTCTGCTGCTCACGTCCTGCACGCTTGGTCCTGAGCTTCATCACACTGGCGTCTTTCCAGCTCCTAGCGGGTCTTGGGGGCTCCAGCGCTGGCCGGCGCCGGCCCAGGCCCTCTGCCTTGGTGAGGGCAGACGCGGGGGAGGACGTGAGGGGCCAGGACACCTGTGCTGCCTGGCTCCCCTCAGCCCCGTGTGCTGTGGGTGTCCTGTCAGCGCGGGGGGCCCGGCCTGGCAGAACTGACCCCACCGGAGGTGTGGCCGGAAGACCTGGCTGCCCCTGGGGTAGGCCCAGAGAGAGGGCCTGTCTCCTCTGGACAATGTCCCCGCATCAGACCTGTCCCGAGTTTCCAAGGACCCTGAGACCCTGGGCAAGGAGCGACCACCACCTGACCACAGCCTGCTCTGCCCCAGAGCCTGATACCGCCGACTGATCCGGGAGGGCCACGGGCTCCGCACCCAGCTGGACCCTCGGGACCTTCGCCCTGGGCCCCTCGAGGAGCTGGGGACAGGGACAGCTGCGTGTCCTGCTCCGTGCCTTACAGAGGATGCCTTCTTGCTTCTGCTACCCTGGACTCAGGAAGCGGACCCTGTTAAAACGTCGCAGACCACTCTGCTCATGGCCATTCGCCAGGGCCTGATTTTTCACCCTCCTCATGACCAGGGCAAGCCATGCCCCTCGGGCCCCACTCTGTGGTGGAGGCGGTAGTCACGGCTGCACCCCAAGACCACTTTCCTCACTGTTGTCTCAGGGGTCTAAGAACCACCCTCTCTGTTAAGAGATGCCGTGACCTGTACCCCCTCTCTGTTCAGATGCCGTGTCCCTGTACCCCCACTCTGTTCAGAGATGCTGTGTCCTGCACCCTTTACTCTGTTCAGAGATGCTGTGTCCCTGTACCTCCACTCTGTTCAGAGATGCTGTGTCCCTCACCCCCTCTCTGTTCAGATGTCGTGTCCCGCCCCCCCCCTCCCCCTGGTTCAGAGCAGCTTGTTTGTTCCCAGTGTGGACAAGCTGCCGGTCACCACCACAGCTGCAGTGACTCAGTTCCCTGGCCCCTCCCTGTCCCGGCCCCACCCCTGCTGAGCACTGGGCAGAGGCTGGAGGCAAGAGCCAGGCCTAGATTCCCCTCGGCTACTACCCCACCCCAGGGGCTGTGGGAGGTTTTGTTCATCGAATTCTCAGGGTCATCCTGGTCAAACAGAAGTGGCTCCAAGAAGCCACCCAGGGCTGGGCTGGGCGCTTCAGGGTCCATCAGCCGGCCCTCAGGCCTGCACCGTGGTCTGGCTGACCGCACAATGTGGCCTGCAGGCTTCCTGTGGTGGGGAGATGGGGGTGGACACAGGGCTGGCTTGCCAGCCCCTCTGGCCAGGGTTCTACCTGGCTGTGGAATGGAAACTTCTGGGCTGTGGCTGGCTGGGTGTTGAGGGGAACAGCACTCGAACCAGCCCCCATGCTGTCCCGTCACTCAGACCCTGCGTGTCCCAGTTGGCTCCGCGTCTGCGATGGGTAAAACCCAACATGGTAGCCCAGGGCCAGGTGGGGTGGGAGCTTGTGAACGGGCTTTGTAAAGCAGCTGAAGAAAAATGACTTTCAAATAAATTTTTTTTTTGACAGGCAGAGTCAGACAGAGAGAAAGGTCACCCTTCCGTTGGTTCACCCCTCAAATGGCCGCTATGGCCAGCGCTGTGCCAATCTGAAGCCAGGAGCTAGGGGTCCTGAAGCTTCTGCCTGCAGAAAACCTCTTCTCACTGGAAGAGGTGGTCCTGGTCACGTGGGGAACTCTGCGGTCAGCGGGAGATGCCGGCCAGAGCCAAGGCCTCGGGATGGCCCCAGACTGCAGCCAGGTGCACCTGTCGGAGTGCTGGCAGACCTTGCCCACAGCCACTCTGGGCTGGCAGGGGTCAGCTATTCGGGGCGAAGTCAATGGCCACCTGCATGGTCCCCAGCGACTGCCTGGGCTGCACACCTGCACCCACTGCACAGGTGGGGAAACCTGAGCGGACAGCTGTGGGATGTAGGGGGGCCAGGCCTGAGGCATGGGTAGGGGCCCATCCTGCTGTTGCTTAACAAAGTCATGAAAGCAGCATTTGGACAGCACAGGAGGCTGCCCTGGCTTCCCCTGGACTCTGTCCCACCAATGCTGCCCGGGACCTCGCCTAAGGCCACGCCAACTGTGTCCACAGCCCCTCCTGCACATTCAGTCCTTCAGGGTGGGGTAGGATGGGACTCACAGCGCAGTGGATCCAGCAGCCGCCCACGATGTAGCCCAGGAAGGAGTGGACTCTGGGACTTCAGGCAGCCATGTACGCAGGGGCTGTCTAGCCCCCACTTGGCCCTGCTGGGGTCTGAGGGACTTGCTTCCCTTGGGTCCCCTCAGCCACCCCATCTCTGTGCCTTCTCTCCATCCTGTGTTCATAATGGGGACCACCAGGCCTCTGGGGTGGAGCAGCCAGATCTATGGGCGGGGCTTAGCTATGACAGACAGAGCCTCCTTAGTGGGAGGGCTGCATGCAGGACCACCTCCCCCCCCCCCCCCATTCCTGTAGCTGTGCTTCTGCATGTACCTGGTGTTCACACAGCCCCACTGACCCTGGGAGAGGGACAGGCAGAGACCCTACCCACACTGCAGTGCCCCACACCCACCAGTGAGCTCAGGGGCCATAGCAGCTGGGCAGGCAAGAGGCCCACAGGAGAGCGGCATGGTGGGGTGAACTGGGGTCCAGGGCAGCCCCCACCACACCCACCTCACACTGTCAGGCAGGGCAGACCCCAAAGGGACTCCCTCCTGGCCCCACCTCTCAGGGGTATCATGGCTCCTGCAGGGGCCCCTGGACAGCCCCTGTTCACCTGGCCCCCCAAGGCTCTCTGCATCATGGAGAACTTTCCATAGAGTCTAAATCCAGACTAGGCACTGGGAAGCCCAGGCCCCCACATACCTGAGCCTGGCCTCCCCTCACCCCTGCCCTGAGCTGGGCTATGGAGGGACTGCCCACTAAGCTAGCCCTTCAGGGCCCACGTCCCTCAAAGCGGCACAGGGAGCTGCGACACTCTGAAAGGCTCCCAGGCCAGGCCATGGTTGCTCTTGACTACCTGTGCCTTACAGCCGTGACTTAGTGGGGCCAAGGGAGTCCCCAGCCAGGGGTGGGCTGGCAACTCCTCCCACACAACCCGGGACAGAGGTGTTCCCAAGCCCACCCTTTGGTGGCCTCTGTCCTGACCTGTGGGCTTGCTCTCTTCTCCCCCAGGCTGAACTGCAAGGGAGCCCCTGCGGTGGGAGTTATGGTCCACCCACTGCAGCAAGACCAGGGCAGCCCTGCCTACAAGGACCTTGCTGACCCTCAGTGGGACACCACCACAGCCAGGGCCTTCCCCACCGCTGGGTGCAGACGGTGGCCTGGTTCTCATAGGGGGGCATCCTGGTCAGAGGTGACACCACAGAATGTGGAGGCAGCAGCAGTGACAGTGAGGGCGGCGACGACAGAAACAGTGAAAGGTGACTGACAGCAGGTCGCCCGGTGCCCGCAAGTACCATGTGCCACCCATCACACCACTGTCCCCTGGGGCCAGCCCTGCTGGAGGCTGCTGACTCGAAGCTCCTCCTGGGCAGGGACCGGCTTCCTCTGGTCACTGGGTTCCAGACCCGTGGCCAGCCGTGGCCCTCACCTCACCTTGTTGTCCAGGAGGCCAGCTCCATGTAGCCATCACCCGGGGGCCAAAGGCCAGGACTCCCTGATGGTGGACTTGCTGCACAGTTGAAGTCAGAAAACCAGGCGGGGCAGGTGCTGCCCGGTCAGTCCCCAGCCTCAGCCTCACTGAAGCCCTCAGGCCTGGCACAGCTGCTAGATGCCCAGGTGTGACCACCGCCTCCTGGGCTTCCCCCGGCACCTGAAAAGCTGAGGCTCATGCAGCGAGGTCACCCACCTCCCAAGCCAGGGCCTCAAGGGTGCTGCTGTCCGGACTCAACCCACAGCCTTCAGGCAGGGAGTCTCCCGAGCAGGGTGGAGTGTGGATGCCGAGTCTGGCCAGTTTTTACTTGCTTCCTAAGACCACGCTGTTGGCTGGAATCCTGAACCTGCTGAATGCCAGTTGCACCCCCTCCCCCGGATGTGTGCAGTGGGTGACGGGACTCATGTGCAGGCACCTGAGCCCGTGAGGACATGGAGCAGGGAGCGTGGGGCCAGAGTTCAGGCCTGCGCTATGCATGGCCAGAGCCCCAGGGGTTGGGTCATGCCCTGGGTCACAGCAGTGTGGCCGCCCATGGGTCCTGGGGTGGAAACTCGGAAAGTATCGTAGCAGACAGGAGCCTGTACCCCCCCTCCCGACGCTGCAACCCCCCAGGCCCTCTCTGATCCCTTCCAGAAGTGGGAAAAGCTGCCAACACAGGACAGAGCACTGACACAGACCAGAGGGGACCTGCCAAGGACGAGCTGTGGATGTCCCCACACGGTGCCCCCGCCCCACTACAAGCAGCCAACTCCGCCTGCAGAGGCTGATTCCTGTTCCTGTGCCTCCAGGTATCCGCTTCTGGGTGAAATTCTATCTGAAAGGCAGAGTGCGGGCTGGTGCTGTGATGTGGCAGGTTAAGCCTCCACCTGTGGCACCGGCGTCCCAGGTGGGTGGCAGCTCAAGTCCTGGTTGCTGCACTTCTGCCCAGCTCCCTGCTATGGCTTGAGAGAGCAGCAGAAAGCAGAAGATGGACCAAGTGCTTGGGCCTCTGCACCACACAGGAGACCTGGAAGAAGCTCCGGCTTCAGACTGGCGCAGCTCTGGGTGTTGGCCATTTGGGGAGCGACCCAGCAATTGGAAGATATGTCTCTGCTCTTATTCGACAAAATGAAAAAGGCAGAGTTCTTGCACCTCGTGGGTTCACTCCCTGAATGGCTGCTCCAACCCAGAACAGGCCAAGCCCAAGCCAGATCAGAACTCTACCCAGGTCTCCCAGGTGTAAGGGCCCAGTATTTGGGCTGTCACCCAGTGACTTCAGGGGCACAGCAGGGAGCTGGGGTGGAGTAGATCAGCCAAGACTCGAGCTCCCAGAAAGGGTGCTGCTGCCTTCCCTTTCATCTGTCTAGTAAGTCTCTGAACACACTACCACCAAACAGAAGGACTGCACGGGAGCCGGCACTGTGGTGCACAGGTGAAGCCTGCGATGCCAGCATCCCTTATGGGTGCCAGCCTGCTAGAACACCTGGGAAGATGGCCCCAGACCATGGGCGCCTGCCACCCATGTGAGACTAGGAAGAAGCTCCTGGCTTCGGCTGGGCCATGGGGGAGTGAACCAGCGTATGAAAGGCCTCTAACTCTGCCTCTCTGATAAACCAAGTGAAATCATGCTTAGGGAGCCGAGGGGCACATGTTCACCACCACAGCTCCTCCCAGCTGCCAACAACATAAAGAGCAAGCAGCCAGGGAAGTCAGATTCCTAAAGGAAAACAACCCACCCCCGCCCCAGGCACAGAGGCCTGGTAACCCATCAGGCTCTGCAGCTGCCCAGGCACTGCCGACACTGCGCCCTACAACATGTAAAATCCAGGTGCCACAAGGCGAGAAGTGCCACCCTGGGTGGCAGGAGACCCACAGATGAATCCCAGCAGGTACAACTGTGTGTAGCCAGGCCTAGCAGAGGAGCCAGGCTTGCCCAGGGTCACTCAGTCCCTGGGGCCCTCAGCCTGCAAGCCACCCTCACGCTACAGAGCTTAGGACCAGCTCACAAGCAAACCCACATCTCTGGCCTAGTCTCCTGCAAGAGGCAGCTGCTGCACTGCACGGCTTTTCCAGCTTGGGCCCCTCACACAGACCTCCTGCTAAGCTCACTGCTGGGTAGCAGGGGATGCTGGACAAGGAGCCCAAGTCCCCTGGGTCGTGTGGCAGACTCAGCGTGGCTCCCGTGCTCCAGGTGGGTATCCGGCTGGACCCCTGGGGAAGGAGCCCGTGGCAAAGGTCACTCCCAAGGTGCGGGGGCACACAGGCACTTCATGACACAGGACCCGGGCCGTCTCCTCCCCACGTCTTCCAGGCTGCTGCTGGCACATACAGCAAGCCAGAGACTTCCCTGCTCCCGCCCCAGCTGTGGCACAGGTGAGAGGGAGACCCTCACTGTGGAACCGGTCTCCCGCCACAGCAGCACTGCACGCCCACCCCCAGACTCAGATGCAGGGGGCCACGAGCCCTTCCAAGCAGGTTCTTGGGCCTGCGCCACACCAAGCAGACAATTCAGAGCCCCAGACAAGAGCCAGGGGTGCCGTGTCCTGAATCCCACGCTGCAACATACATGAGGCAGCTAAGCATTACCCCTGACTCCCACGTAGTAGCGGGTCACAGCGCCCCAAATCCACCAGGTGCACCCTGGGTACCTGTAACAGTGGCAGGTGATGGGCATCACACGCATCATCATTTCTAGATGAGTTCAGGTAACAACGCTGTCTCCCTGCAGGGAGCTATGGCCACAGCAACTGCGACAGCAGGCTGACGTCCAGGCAGGGCGAGGCTGGGCGTGTGTGAGCACCTCCCTGGGGACCAACGCAGGAGCCACAGGGCCAAAAGGCGCCCTGAGCCGAGGAGCTGAGCCTCAGGCTCCCCCTAGGGGCCGGGCAGGGACGCTCCATGCTCACAGGCGCAGATCACACTGAGGCAGGCTCGAGGGACCACCCATCCTGGAGACTGCCGTGGTCTCACAGGGCAGCCAAAGGCACAGCCCACTGGTCTGGGCTGCCTTTCACGACCCCACACCCAGACAGGACCTGGCGCACTCAGGCCACTGCTTACTGGAGACACACCACAGGAGACCGGGCAGACTGGATTTATTGTGCAAGTCCCCAGCGAGGCCTCATTTTTTCTTCTCAACGTCCTGTTCCGCAGCTTCCTTGGCTCTTTTTGCCCGGATGCCGAAGAGGCGGGCATTGGCGCGGGCCATGCGGAGACTGGCGAAGGCCTTGAAGTTCTTCTCCTCCTCTGTAATAACTCTGGCTTTCTCCTTCTTGAAGACCTGGAAAAGGAGACGAGGTCAGACCCAGTCCCACCAAGTGGCCAGCACGGGCCAAAACTGATGGAGACAGGGGCAGATGAGGATCAGACCAGAGTCCTTGCTGGGATTCAGAGCCTCACCCTGACTGACTCAGCATGGCGAGGAGGGGCCAGGCATCTCCACAGGGAACTCCCACCCCCCAGGCTCAGGAAGGGGTCCCCAGGGTTCAGACTCAGGGGTGATCTTCCCTGCCGCCCTGGGAGCGCAGTGTGCATGGTGCGCCTCTACTCACGTTCCGGATGGGCATGACTGGTCCTGTCAGCTGGGTGGCCAACTTCAGTTCTTCAGCCTGTGTGTGACGAGAACCCGGTCAGCCACCTTGTGCTAAAGACCCCATCACACACCCCAGCACCCTGTGCTGCCGCATGGTTGTGGGCTGTTCAACTCTGCTGCTAAGACAGGCCCAAGTGGAGCTTGTCTTGTCCTACACGTGAGCCACCTGCCAGCAAACCCAGGATGGAGACAGCAATCCCACCCCCGGTCCAACCCCCAGGAAGGCCACATAGGTGGCCACGGCCAACCCCCACTACAGGATTTTTCCATAAGCACTTTCGGAAACACAGCAGAGGTTCAAGCGGTTCCCGGAAACTATGTCAAGCCCCTCAACCCCCACATAAGTCCATGCCTTCCGCGTGGGGCAAACATCGCCCGAGGGCAGGCACTGGGGGAGTGCGACCGCTGCCCTGCCCCGCACACGCTGACCCGCCACTCACCGAGCTGTCGCCTTTCTTGGGGGCCGAGGGCTTCCGCGGGAAGAGGACCAGCTTGGAGCGGTACTCCTTCAGCCGCTGCACGTTGGCCTGCAGGGACTCGGTGGACTTGTTCCGCCGCCGCGGGTCCACGGAGATGCCGATAGTCCGCGCCACCTTCTTGTGGATGCCGGCCACCTGCCCCAGACACGCACGCATGGAGCCCCGCGGAGCCCCGCGCCGCCAGGCCCCCGGGGCCCGGCTCGGCGCTCAGAGGTAAAAGGGTTCGAACGCGCTTTCATCAGGCGATGCAGCGATTCCGGAGACTGTCATCACGCGCCCGAGCCCGGGCCGCCCAACCCCGCCGCGCCCCGCGCCCCACTCACCCGCAGCTCCTCCAGGCTGAAGCCGCGGCCGGCGCGCACCTTCGTGTGGTACCGCACGGTCGGGCAGCGCACGATGGGCCGGATGGGCCCCGCCGCGGGCCGCGGGGCGATGCGGCGGGCTCGCGCTTGCCGGGCCTTGCGCCTGCGAGGGAGGGCGGCGGCGGCGTCACGGCGGGCGCGCGGGCGGCGCCCCGGCCCCCGACCCGGCCCCCGGCCCCGGCCCCGGCCCCGACCCCGGCCCCGACCCGGCCCCCGGCCCCCGGCCCCGACCCCGGCCCCGACCCCGGCCCCGACCCCGGCCCCCGGCCCCCGGCCCCCACCCCGGCCCCGGCCCCGACCCCGGCCCCCGGCCCCGACCCCGGCCCCCGACCCCGGCCCCGGCCCCCGACCCCGGCCCCCGACCCCGGCCCCGGCCCCCGACCCCAGCCCCGACCCCGACCCCGGCCCCGACCCGGCCCGGCGCTCACCTGCGGATCTTGCGCGCCGGCTGGTTGAACCAGGTGGCCACGCGCCGCTGCCAGTCCTTGTGGAAGTGCGGCTTCAGGATCATGCCATTCCGGCTGGGCGCCATGGCTGCGTGCTGCCGCGAGGGGCGAGGGCCGAGCGTGAGGCGCCGGGGCCGGGCCGCCGCCCGACCGCCCGCGCCCCGGCCCCGGCCGCCCGAACGCGCCCTCCCCGCCCAGCCGCTGGGCCCGGCCGGACGCCGTCTGAGGCGCTAGCTGCCTCCATGGCCGCGGCGGCGGCGGCACCAGGCCGATGGCGGTGGATGGAGCCCGATACAGTCGGAGGCCGTTCGATGGCGACGGGGAAAGGACACTCACCTCCTCCGCGCGAGAACAGAGAAGCGGAAAGGACGCGGCGCCGCGAAGCCCCCTGGGATGGTGGTAGGCCCGGCCAATCAGAGGCGCCGCAGCGTCCTGACCAATCAGAGCCAGGCGATGCGGAAGTGGCGCAAGGCCGGCGCCGCCGCGTCCCGGAGAGTTCCGCCTCCACGGCCCGGCGTCCGAGGCGGAGGGGAGCTGGGTCGGGGCGCGTTCGGCCAGCGCGGTCGCGAAGCCGTGGACGCCCCCGGGCCTCGCTCCCCGCCGCGCCCCTCTCCCCTCCGCGGAGCGCTTTCCGGGGGCGTCGCCCTCACCCCGCGAGTGCCGCAGCCCCCGGTGCGCGCCAGGCGGCCTCCGGCGCGTTCTTGCCGCCGCCCCGCTGGCGAGGACCCCGCGGCGTGGAGTGGAGCGGAGCGCCGGGAAAGGGCGCGCAGTGCGCTCGGGAGTTCGAACCTGGCCCTAAGGTAGGCGGTGGCCCCTCCGTGTGAGTGAGAGGCCGAGAGACCGCCCGTCCGCTGGCCCGCCCCAGATGGCCGCGGCGCGAGCTGGGCTGAGGAGGAGCCGGGACCCGCCGCCCGGTTCTGGGTGCCGGGCGCGTCTTGGTGGAGCGGCTGCAGGAGGAGTCACGTCAGGGCCGCAGTCGAGGCAGAGTGCTCGGCCCGCTTCCAGGTGGCCTGGGGGAGCCAGCGTGGCCGAGGGCCTGCCGCGGCCTTCACGGACACCGTGAGGAGAAAACCCGCCATCTGCCCTTCGCGCGGCTTGGGCGCACCCACGGGAGACGCTGGCCGCATGAATGCTGGCCGGGCGCCCTCTCACCCCGCGCGCCCACGGGAGACGCTGGCCGCATGAATGCTGGCCGGGCGCCCACTCACCCCTCACACCCACGGGAGACGCTGGCCGCACACCCACTCACCCCGCGCGCCCACTCACCAATCACCCACGGGAGACGCTGGCCGCATGAATGCTGGCCGGGCGCCCTCTCACCCCGCGCGCCCACGGGAGACGCTGGCCGCACACCCACTCACCCCGCGCGCCCACTCACCAATCACCCACGGGAGACGCTGGCCGCATGAATGCTGGCCGGGCGCCCTCTCACCCCGCGCGCCCACGGGAGACGCTGGCCGCACACCCACTCACCCCGCGCGCCCACGGGAGACGCTGGCCGCATGAATGCTGGCCCTCCGCGTCATCCCCAGACCCTCTCCATGCTCCGGGCACAGACCCTGCCCACCTCCAACACCTCCCACGCCAGCTCCGACTTGTCTTCAGGCAAAGCTGCCCTAACCCGCACGTCCACCTCGCCTAGCTGGTTCTAACAGATACTGGGCAGGGGTCCAGCACTGCTCAGAACTGAGTTAGCCGGAAAGAAAGTGCACGTTGAAGACTTGGCTGCACAAACCAAAGCCGCAGAAGCCAACTTTATCCATACTCACTTCTCTTGAAAAATATGTAAAACAGAAAAGGTTAACTTCTCGTGCAGAATTCTGTGGAGAGTATCAGCTTTGCACTGGGCGAGACTGAGGAACAGTTTTGCAGTTGACTTGTACAGAGACTCGCTGGTCTAAGTGCTGACAGGCACGGAAGTTCACAGATAAAACTGCCCAAGATGGGGCCGCCGCCTGCAGTGCTGGTATCCCATATGGGCACCAGTGCGAGTCCACCTGGGAAAGCAGAAGAGGGCCCAAGTCCTTGGTCCCCTGCACCTGCGTGGGAGACCCAGCACCTCCTGGCTCCTGATCCGAGCAGCTCCGGCCATTGCGGCCATCTGGAGGGATGAACCAGTGGATGGAAGATTCTCTCTCTGCCTCTGTTCTCTGTAACTGCCTTTCAAATAAACAAACAAACCTTAACAAAAAAAAAAAAAAAATGCTTAAGAGCTTTTGGCTGGGTTTGGCCCGCGCCAGCCCCAGTCTGAGTCTTCAAGAACTTCCAACCTAAGAGTGTGTCTTTCAGCATCTGGAACTCTTTCAGGTACATACTCTGGATAAGGGGAGTTTCTATTTTCTATAATGAGGTTCAGGAAGTATTGACAAGGTCTTGTTAAGAGGTAGGTAGATGGCCAGCACCGCGGCTCACTAGGCTAATCCTCTGCCTTATGGCGCCAGCACACCAGGTTCTAGTCCCAGTAGGGGCACCGGATTCTGTCCCGGTTGCCCCTCTTCCAGGCCAGCTCTCTGCTGTGGCCAGGGAGTGCAGTGGAGGATGGCCCAAGTGCTTGGGCCCTGTACCCCATGGGAGACCAGGAGAAGCACCTGGCGCCTGCCTTCGGATCAGCGTGGTGCGCCGGCCACAGTGCGCTGGCCGCAGCAGCCATTGAGAGTGAACCAACGGAAAAGGAAGACCTTTCTGTCTGTCCACTCTGCCTGTCAAAAAAAAAAAAAAAAGGATCCCGCTTGGGAAGCCCACATTCCACATCAGGGTGCCTGATTCGAGTCCCAGCTCCTCTGGTTTCTGCTAAAGTGCGTCTTGGGAAGTGGCAAATGATGGGCCAAGTACTTGAGTCCCTGCCACCATGTGGGAGTCTAGGATGGCGTTCCATGCTCTTGGCTTCAGTCTGGCCCAGCCCTAGACGTTGTGGGCACTTGGGGAATGAACCAACGAAGCATCTCTCTCCATCAGTGTGTCTGCCTTTCAGACAAAATGAAAATAACCGAAACTTAAAAAGATTTGAAAGTTACAGAGAGGAAGAGAGAGGGAAGGAGGGAGCGGTGTCTCCCAGCTGCTGGTTCACTCTCCATATGGCCTCAGTCGTTGGAGCTGGGCAGTGTGAAGGCAGGGGCCAGGTGCTTGTTCCAGGTCTCCCACGTGGGTTCAGGGCCCAAGCACTTGGGCCACCATCGGCTGCTTCCCAGACGCATTAAGGAGCGGATGGAAGATGCAGCAGCTGGGACTTGACTCACTCTGGCGCCCGTATCAGATGCTGGTGCTGCAGACGGCACAACTGTGGCCCTCCAAAACATTTTTTAAATGTTTACTTATGAGTATAGATCAGAGTAGAGGAAAATGACCAGTACTACAATACTAGAGCTTAAATAAGGAAGACTCTTTCATTTATTTGAAAGGCAGAGTTAGAGCGATCTTCCATCTGCTGGTTCACTTCCCACATTGCTCCAATGGCCAGGGCTGGGCCAGGCTGAAGCCAGTGGGTGGAGTCCCAAGGCCTTGTGCTGCTTTCCCAGCTGCATTAGCAGGGAGCTGGATCGGAAGTGGAGCAGCCAGGAGTCAAACCAGCGCCCATGTGTGAGGCTAGCATTGGAGGCGGCAGCTTAACCCCTTACACCACAACACCTGGCCTGGGTTTTTTTTTGTTGTTGTTAAAAAGATTTGAGGCCGGCGCCGTGGCTCAATAGGCTAATCCTCCACCTTGCGGCGCCGGCACACCGGGTTCTAGTCCCGGTCGGGGCGCCGGATTCTGTCCCGGTTGCCCCTCTTCCAGGCCAGCTCTCTGCTATGGCCAGGGAGTGCAGTGGAGGATGGCCCAGGTGCTTGGGCCCTGCACCCCATGGGAGACCAGGAAAAAGCACCTGGCTCCTGGCTCCTGCCATCAGATCAGCGCGGTGCGCCGGCTGCAGCGGCGGCCATTGGAGGGTGATCCAACGGCAAAGGAAGACCTTTCTCTCTCTGTCTCTCTCTCTCTCACTGTCCACTCTGTCAAAAAAAAAAAAAAAAAAAAAAGATTTGAAAGCCACAGTGACATGGAGAGGAACAGATAAAGAGATCTTGCATTTGCTGGTTGACTCCTCAAATATCCGTAAATGTTGGCACTTGGTCAGGCTAAATCCTGAAACCAGGAGCTCACCATGTGGGCGGTAAGGGTCCAAGAACTTGGGCCATCATCCACTGACTTCCCAGACTGTATTACCAGAGAGATGGATGGGAAGCAGAGCAGCCAGGACTTGACCCAGTGCGTCAGCATGGGACGCAGCGGCACCAGTGGTGGCTGAACCCGCTGCAGCACAAAGCTGAGCCCCATGTGTTTCTGAGGCTCCCTGTGGTCCTGTTCAGTCTTCACATCACTTAGAACACGCACTTGTTTCCACAGGGAGTCCTCAGACACGCAACTCAAGAAGCACTCAGAGAATTACATACTCACACACTTTTTTCTTTTTCTTTTTTTTTTTTTTTGACAGGCAGAGTGGACAGCAAGACAGAGAGACAAAGAGAAAGGTCTTCCTTTTGCCATTGGTTCGCTCCCTCAATGGCCACTGCGGCTGGCGCACTGCGCTGATCTGAAGCCAGGAGCCAGGTGCTGGACTAGAACCCTGTGTGCTGGCGCCGCAGGTGGAGGATTAGCCTATTGAGCCGCGGCACTGGCCTCAGGGCTATTTTTTTTTCTTTGACAGGCAGAGTGGACAGTGAGAGACAAAGAGAAAGGTCTTCCTTTGCCGTTGGTTCACCCTCCAATGGCCGGCACACCGCGCTGATCCGATGGCAGGAGCCAGGTACTTCTCCTGGTCTCCCATGGGGTGCAGGGCCCAAGCACTTGGGCCATCCTCCACTGCCCTCCCGGGCCACAGCAGAGAGCTGGCCTGGAAGAGGGGCAACTGGGACAGAATCCGGTGCCCTGACCGGGACTAGAACCCGGTGTGCTGGCGCCGCAAGGCAGAGGATTAGCCTATGAGCCGCGGCGCCGGCTAGGGCTGTTCTTACGATGGAGCTGAGACGAACCCAGTTTTTGCCACAGGTTCTTGGGCTAAGGCCTGTTCGTGTCCAGGACCCCAGAGGCAGTGTGGGCAGCAGTGTGGTTTCAGCGCGAGGCCACTGACTCACTCCATCAGCCGAGCACCAAGGTGACCAAATGCGACGCTGAGCCGACTGAGGACAAGTGCTTGGAGCCAGGCCTCACCTCAGCAGCTGTGCAGTACCCACCCCCCTTGCAGGCTGCACACCACTGGGCTCTCAGGAAACAACTCTGCAAATGAGACACAGCCCAGCTCTGTGGGGAGAGCACAGGGTGGGGAGGTAGGCTGTACCGGCTTTAGAACCAGTAGGGGATGCTACCGAGGGCAAGGACATAGCCAGCAACCTCCCAAACCAGTGCTGACCTTAGGTCACGGATCTGGAGAACTGGGGAAAAGCCCCATGTGTCCTCTCAAGAAATGCAGAGGGGCCAGTGTTGTGTAAAACAGGTTAAGCAGCTGGCGCTGCGGCTCACTAGGCTAATCCTCTGCCTGTGGCACGTGCACCTCCGGTTCTAGTCCCGGTAGGGGCGCCGGATTCTGTCCCGGTTGCCCCTCTTCCAAGCCAGCTCTCTGCTGTGGCCCGGGAGTGCAGTGGAGGATGGCCCAAGTGCTTGGGCCCTGCACCCCATGGGAGACCAGAAGCACCTGGCTCCTGCCATCGGATCAGCACGGTGCACCGGCCACAGCGGCCATTAGAAGGTGAACCAACGGTAAAAGGAAGACCTTTTTCTCTGTCTCTCTCACTGTCCACTCTGCCTGTCAAAAAACAAAAACAAAACAAA